ACATAACAGCCTTAAGGGGAACAAAGGGACCAATAAGAGTTGTGGTGGAGTGATAAGTATTCCTTTATTCTTAACTAGAGGTCTTGGGTTCGAGCTCTGGGAATGGAGTCGCCTTTGTTAGGGAGCGCTTTACCCTCCAATGTGGGATTTTCCGGCGCGAATCCGGATTTAATCGGGGCCCAAAGCGGATACCGGACAACGGGTGAGAAACAAAAAAGAAAACGGAGCAAAAGGCAGTCCGGTGCACTAAGCTCCCGGTATACGCAGGGTCCAGTGAAGGACCGGACTACAAAGGTCTATTGTATGCAATTTTATCCTATATTTTTACTGTTTTTACGATTTGAACTCGTAACTTCCTGATCACATTCAACTTTACTAGGTACACCAAAATTATTAATGGAGCCCCAGCATAAAATTACTGGACTTCAATCATTCCACATGTCCAAATTTTTCGACAATAAAGTTTCAAATCTACCCCTCCGCTTTCAATTACGGATAGTATATAATCGCATTGATGGATTCTAGTCACACCACGTGTCTAAATTGATGGATTCCAGCCACTTCGCCTTATCCATTTTATCACGTTATGAAAGAAAATTGAGAATTTTGTTGCCGGTCTTGCATGGTTTCTTACGAAAATAAGGTATTTTGGTGCATTTAGCAATTTTTTGACTTTTAGAGTTATAAATTATAGATTATAGATATCGGTTATGACTAATTTATAAATCATACCTTTGCTTGAAGCTCCACGCCTTGTCGCCTTCCCCCTTTTTTTTTTGTTTGCTAGATCAGATGTTTATATTAAACAACTAAGTAACGCGAGAGTTATAATTATTAAAAATTGGGATTACAGACAAGTCTCCGGAACAGTCTTTATTGAAAGCGAGTAGAACATAGGGGGATAAGTAGTGTAAGGGCCGCTATGATTACCCGCCATCAGAGGGGTGAGGTTCAATCCATGGTTAGCCAAAATATATTTGCTTTGCGGTAGATATGCCTAAGTTTCACTTGACCCGATTTCAACATCAGTAGCAAGAATATGTGAGTGGAGCTCATTTCTATGTTCGACCATGGTGTATAGTATTTGTGAATCAGTTTCTATTTGAAGGGGAGATTAATTTAATTCCTTAGCTAACCGTAAACCAAGCAAAAGTGCTACTAGTTTAGTCTTTCTTTTTCGACTAATAGCCTGTTTGGTCAAGTTTTTTTTGGGCCAAAACTGCTTTTTTTTTTTTGCCAAAAGCATTTTTGGCCAAAAATTGGAGAAAATCTCACTTTATATCCAGTAAATACAAACTATTTACCCTTAAATACCCATACCTAAACTATTTACTATTCCTACCCACGGGGCCCAAACTATTTACCCGCCTCCTCCCCCTGAATATGGAACTTTTCAAGCACCTACCAGTTACCCACCACATCAACCTGTGATCGATTTTCCTCAGCCAATTCCTCCACCTGGCGTCACCGTATCATCACCTGAATATTATGCTCATGGTTATCAGGCTGTTCCAAGTTCTTCTACCACCCTCTGCTCCTATACTGTGTTCATGATTTTAATAGTTACCGCAATTAATTATTCAGATGCCGAAAAAAATCACCCGATATTCATGATTTTCGTGAATTGTTGTTGCGTTTCTTCAGTAATTATGGGTGGTTTGACTTTATTGTACAAAAATTCAAATCCACCATTGAAGGACATTGAAGCTTGAAACTCATAACTTGGTTTGTTTGAGTTTTTAATTATTTTGATCCGATCCTATATGGGTTTGTTTGGAAAGTTGATTGGAGGTTGTATCTAAAGTTTTAGTCAATTTGGTGGAGATTTTGTAGTAGATTTTAGAAGTTTGGGTTGAAATATAGTTGAACAAGAGAAGAAGACGAATTTGTATTGTATACTCAAATAGTATACAAATATACCGTTTTGGTATACAATTCATTCCAACTATATACCCTATTAGTATAACTATATACTATGTTGGTATCATATGCTAGTTGAATCATTTTTTGGTTGTATTAGCTGCATTTATTAGTACAATATTTGATTTTCTTTTAATAATAGTAATATAGTTCAATATCTTGAAATACTTTATTACATTAATATGTGGTATACTATTTTTTTTATTTTTCTCTTTATGCATGTGTGTTATGTCATAGTAGTATAGTCATATAGTTGCCAGAAATTAATCAGTAAAACTGTATACCATGTTGGTATAGTTATATGCCATATTGGTATCATATGGTAGTTTGAACATTTTTTTTGGTTGTTTTGGCTGCATTTTTAAGTGAATTCTATTATGAAATTATTTATATGAACGTGATTTACAGTGCTGGAAAATTTTTGTGCTTATGGATATAGATTATGTGTATTATGTAATAGTTTTTATAATTATAGGTAATTGTTGGAACGACCCATACAACTATATACCATGTTAGTATATGGAATGAGCAAGTTGCTTTACGAATATTTAGCTTGCAATGCGAGCATGTAATTTTCTCATACTTTTATTGTATCCTTTAATATTTTGGTACAGTAGTATAGTCAAGATAGTTGTAACAATATTCTAGAGCAATCATATACTCTGTTGATATACATGTATACCATATTGGTATCATGTGGTACTAGAAGTCTTTTTTGCTACTTATATTTTTATTGCATTTTCCAATATTTTATTATCATTTCTAGTCTAACTAGTATATATGGAGATTTAGTGGCCGTAGATTATATTGTCTTGCTCCATCACTGGTTGGTGTTACTGCTAATGATAAATTATGTACTAATATTTGTAGGGAAGGAGATCAAGGTTTGCATGGCAGTCGCGTGGAATTAAAAAAGGAACAAGAAATAAAGAAAAAAAATAAAAAAAATAAAAAATAAAGAAGGAATCAAATTAGAGTGTGAAATAAGTTATGGTAAAAATAACAATAATACGATTTGGGCAAAAATAAATGAACAAAAAGAGAAAAAAAAATAGGAAGAAAATGAGAAAAAAGAAAAGGATAAAAGAAAAGAAAAAAGGAAAAAAAAAAGAAGCATGGAAATAAAAAAGAATTGGAGAATAAAGAAAAAACTCCCCACAAAAACTGCTATGGGCAGGAAATGTAATTAGTTTATGGGTAGAAAAACAAATGGGTAGACAAGGGTAAATAGTTTTGTTTTTGTGGGTAACTGTGTCAAAACCCCCAAAAATTGAGGTGTTTGGCCAAGCTTTTGGAAGGAAAAAAAGTGCTTTTGAGGAGAAGCAGAAGCAGTTTTGGAGAAGCAGAAAAATGTAGCTTCTCTCCAAAAGCACTTTTGAGAAAAATACACTTAGAAACAGTTTTCAAAAGCTTGGCCAAATACTAATTACTGCTCAAAAGTGATTTTCTAATTAATTAGGCAAACACCAAACTACTTCTCACCAAAAGCACTTTTTTTAAAAGTATTTTTGAGAAAAACACTTCTCAAAATAAGTAGATTTTAGCAGCTTGGTCAAACGGGCTATAAGGCTCTATTTATTAGGAATATAAAATAATATGGAGAAATAGGTCAGGATGATGGCATAAATTATCGATTCCATTTTCATGATTTGACTAAATCCAACAGCAAGCCCCATGTAATCAGTTTGATCATAATTAAGGATGGTAAATGGGCGTGCCGGATCGGAAATGAGACGGATCGAATACGGATAATACAAAAATGAATAATTTATCTGTTCCCCCATATTTAATATGGATAAAAAAATGGGTTGATCGGCTGATAATATGAATATCCATATTACCCATGGCTTCTTGAATATAATCACTTTTGGGAGAATTTCTAGTCTCCCAAACTTAGGAATCCCTAATTTTAGGCTTTACAAATGTAAAAGTTAAACTCATTAGTTATCCATTTTCTAAGTGGATAATATGATTCTTATTTATATTTAACCCATTTTTTAAAAGTTCACTATCCAACCTATTTTTTAATGGATAATATGGATGAATAACTAATTTTTTTATCTATTTTACCACCACTAATTATGATGATGAAAAATATGCGACGTCTGTATGGCAATTTACAAAGTTTACATTTAGATAAAAGGCTCAAATATGCCATCAAATTTAATGAAATGACATATCTATACCACTCGTTAATAGTTGGACATAAATATGCCACTGACATTATCGGTGGCACTATATAAAAAAATCGGAAAAAGCCTAAAAATGCCACTCAACTTTCAGAAATGGTCTATCCATGCCATCCGTTAAAAAATGTTCATTTCATGCCACTGCCGTTACACATTTGGCCCATCCATGCCATTATTGACTAACGGCAGTGGCATGGATGGGTCAAATAAAAATTGAGTCGTTAGTCAATAATGGCATAGATGGCCCAAATGTGTAACGACAGTGGCATGAAATGAGCATTTTTTTAACGGATAGCATGACCATTTCTGAAAGTTGAGTGACATTTTTAGGCCTTTCTCCCTATATAAACCCTTTATTTTTCACCAGCCCGCCTCCTCTCTCACTTTTTGTTACGAGTGGCATATATGAGTCATTTTATTAAGTTCTATGAATACCGAATAGGGGCTATTAATGTTTTTGACCACGCAGCTAACTATGTAACTTCTCTAGAAGAAAATATATAGCGGCTGTAATTATTTTTGATCGGCCAACAAAGTCTAAATAGTACGGGCTAGCCAGTTTTCGGACTGGTCATCAAAAATAGTTAGCGTTTGCCAAGTCATTGAAAAATAACCATTATTTTGCTGCATCAGAGACCGGTCCAGTATAATATACTGAAGTTCCAATATATTATGCTGGAGTATTTTCCGAATTTTGATCAGTATTTTCGTTCAGATTTATCTTTACATAAAAAGTGACTAAATTTTAATGACTTTTGAAACTGTGACTATTTTTGAATGACCACTAATACATTTCCTGAACTGATGGGCTGGAGTTTTGGACCAAGCCCAGTTAAACTGATGCACCTCAAGGCCCATTGGGCTTAGATTGAGCTATATATAGAAAGCTCTCTTCTAATTCTGTCCCTATTTTGTCCCTATTTAGGTTCTACGAGCAGTCAAAGCGCCATTAGAGTAACTCAAAAAATCAGGTTTGCATTTTTACATTCTGCTAATTTTTTTTTATGAAATCATAATTACAACATCAAATTTCATCTTCAATACATTGATTTTGGTGCTTGTAATGTAAGGTTTACATGCATTTCATTGCGTTTATTTTTATCGCACTATTTAATTGTTTCCCCTTTTTGTTTGACGATAGGGAGTGTGTATTATGAGAAAAAAGAACTGTTTTTTTTTCTTTCTGCAGGGGCGGAGTTAGAGTGTAGTTTACAGGTTCAGCCGAACCTGTACCTTTACTCCAAACCCTATACCTAAGCTCACAAATTTTTATTTGTAAAAATATATTAATTTAGAATCTAGTAACTTAGGAAGTTAGAATTCAGAAACCGTAAGCTTCAAATTCTAGCTCCGCCTTTGATTTTCTGCTTTCATGATATGAACTATATGGTTAATAATTCTAAGGAGCATAATTCTTTGTGACCTTGAAGGTTTGGTTTAAGTTAAATTGGTGTCAAAATCGGAATTTGAATTATTTTTTGTTTTCCTTGGTGGTGTTTGTTTTAAGCTTCAATCTTCCTATGCATTTTATTTTTAGAGGTGGATTTGGGTTAGAGTGCATGTGGTGCCAGCAAGATGATAATAGTAACAGTAAAATAGTACCATAGAAATTAATCTAATTGGCACCTTATCAGTTGTTGTAGCCTGTAGGATAACCATTTCCTTATACCCTCAGGCTCGATCTCTCTGCCAGTGAATTGGTATGCTGAATTTTGGATGGACTTCCAATCGGTTTTGCCTTCTAGGCCATTGCACATGCCACGACCTCTACGGAGGCTGAGATGGTTGGAATTTCCTACGGAGCAGGGGCGGAGCTAGAGTGTCAGCTATGGGTTAGGTCGAACCCAATAGCTTTGGTTCAAACCTTGTATTTGTCTTAAAAATTCATTAAATGTGTACAAATTATTAATTTAGAACCCAATAGTGTTTCCTGGCTCCGCTTCTGCTATGGAGATCTCCATAATGTAGTGTTTCCTAAGTGTGACGATTATGCTGACTGAGAAGGCTAAAAGTGGATGATGTAGACGTTTAGTCACATGGAGGATGTTGTTATGAATATAAATAATGACTTCGGTAAGAGTAATACAAAATGAAAGCTAAAGGATCCGTATAAGCAATATCAAATTCTTGGGATTAAGGCTTAGTTATTGTTTTTTATGCTGACTGGAGGTTCAGTGTTATTAGGAGCTTTTAGTCGATTAGAGACTTGTGATCAGTGTTGTGATAATTGTTGGGTTCAGGAATCCTGTAGTTTTAAAGAATTCTATTGCCTTAGAGGCCAACTTCTTTACCAGTGATACCTATTTAAATTTTTTTTTTACCAGTTTTGAAAATAAATGGTTCAAAGTAGAGAGGATCATATGGCTGACCAAATTGGTAATGAAATTAAGGCGCAATCGGTTCATCAATCGATCGACTAGCCATTGATGTTGTTTGGTAATCTATAGGAGAGAGTGAGCTAAATAATGTTCTCGTATAAGATCTAAACAAAGCCTTTTTCTTAAGTTGTGCCCTAATAAAGCTATAAGTTTAGCCTTAAGTAGTTGGTGGCCAATGGTTTTTCCAAACAGTTTGATTATGATTGAGTAGGAGTGGCAAATGGGCGGGTCGGGTCGGATATGGCTCGGGTCGAAACGGATAATGAAAAAACGGATCAATTATCCGACCCGACCCATATTTAATACGGATAAAAAACGGGTTAACCGGCGGATAATATGGGTTACCCATATTATCCATGACTTTTTGTATATGATCATTTTTGGGAGAATTCTTACTCTCCCTAACTTGAGGAACCCCCAATTTGAGGTTTTACAAATCTAAAAGTTAGACCCATTGATTATCCATTGGTTACTCATTCGTTATCCATTTTCTAAATGGTTAATATGGTTCTTATCCATATTTGACCCGTTTTTAAAAAGTTCATTATCCAACTCATTTTTTAGTGGATAATATGAGTGGTTAACTGCTTTCTTTGAACCATTTTGCCACCCCTATGATTGAGTGCTTCCAAGGAGAGTACAATCGAGCTTTATCAATTGCTGTAAGTGGTATGAAATCTTCCGTATCAAAAGGGTTGTCCCCTTCATCATTTAGATCAATGTCTACAACTTCAACTTGAAATAGAGAATTTGAAGTTGAAGACTTTTGTAGTAGTATTTCAAGTGAAATAATTAACTCTCAAAACTTTAACTGTTTTTTCAATTGAAATTCATGTCCAAACACAGTTGATTCAACTTCCAAATGCTCTTCTTGAACTTCAACTTGAAGCACTCATTTTTTATTTTTTAACCAAATTTTATCCAAACAGGCATAAAACTTTCATCCTCTTTATTTGAAGGTGAAGATCAGCCTCCAAAAGAAAATATTCTTAATTTGAGAATCCAACTATATTATGTCGGTATGGTCCTAGATTCCTGGTCAACTTTTGGAAGGGTTTCCATTTTTTGCTTCCCTGAAGTATACTACTCATTCGACATTTTCTTTGCTCTTGCAAAACGAAATGTAACACTATTGTTTTTATCATATCGAAAGTGGCAAAGTTTTGAAAACATGTCTAGAAATAAAAAATAGTCGAATGATTTTGCACCCATGATTTTCTTCAACATGAGTTGATGGTTAAGTTTGGACTACTTTTTCTCTTTTGTTAATTCGTTGGAGTTTATGTTTACACATTGTGTACTATTTCTCGAAGAAAGATGCAGAATTTTTAATTTGTATGATTCCATGAAAGCATGTACCAGACCTGGTTTTTCTTCGATTTTCTTTTTGTTTTCCTGTTTGCAAAAGAAACAGGAGAATTACTATCTTGTAAAATTTCATGAAAGCATAACCCACCCCCCCAACTCACTCAAAGAAGGGAAAGTTAGTCTTTTTCACCAAAAAATGGTGCTTTGAAACTTAAAAGCTTTGGATTGGAGCGTAACTTGATTCAAGTAGTAGACACTTCGAAACCTCAGTAGTATTCTCGACTTTCTGCAAATTTAGTTAGTTGCCTAGGAAGAAAAGAGACAATGTGATTTCCTTACTCAAATCTTAGTCAATGCAGATGTGAATATATCTGTGTGCTATTGATATGATGAAAAGACTATATCTACTGGCTCTTTTATGTAACTCTATTTGGTAATGACCTTAGATAATGCTCGACCTTCTGCAAATTTAGTTATTTGCACAGGGAGAACAAAGAAGAAAAAATAATATATGAATACCTTCATGAGACCCCAGTCAGTCAGTACATATGTGAATATATGAACATGCTATTAATTTGATGAATAAACTACATCTGCATGCTCTTGTATACCTTTGTTATCTCTTATAATCTGGTACTTAGTGGTTATCTTGCTTCATTTTTTCAGGTTGAGACGTTGACAAAAACATGGCTAAGCATCATCCTGATTTGATCATGTGCCGAAAGCAGCCAGGAATAGCTATTGGCCGTCTTTGTGAGAAATGTGATGGCAAGTGTGTTATATGTGATTCTTATGTGCGTCCTTGCACTTTGGTACGAGTTTGTGATGAATGCAACTATGGTTCTTTTCAGGGTCGTTGCGTGATCTGCGGAGGTGTAGGTATTTCGGATGCTTACTATTGCAAAGAGTGTACACAGCAGGAGAAAGACAGGGATGGTTGTCCTAAGATAGTCAATCTTGGGAGTGCTAAAACTGATCTGTTCTATGAACGTAAAAAATATGGTTTCAAGAAAAGATAGTATGGGTTTTCTCGTTTAGTTCTCACCATAATATTCCAGGAGTATCGTGCAAGTTTGACAGCATCACAATCTTCAGCATTCACTCTATGTTTCCTGGCATCGGGAGTTTAACATTTTTTGTACCAGATGAGATATTATAACTTGTATTTTCTGTAGCAACATCTTGTTTAGGCTTAAAGTAAATGTTGAACATAAATGTCTGTTGTTCGGGTGTTTGTGATGGTTTGCTGATGTCTTTATAACAGGGTGATTGCAGGGCTTTCTTTCACAAACTGAAGTATATTAGTATAAGAATGCTGCATTCGAATTCACGTTTCAGCAACATGAGGTTCATTTAATTTGTGTGTAGAGACGGATTCAGGATTTAAAGTTTATAGGTTTACAATAGTCTCAAGTTAATATGTAATAATAACTGAGTATTATAAACACATATATAAGGTTTTCACAATAGTTAGGGGTGTCCATGGTTCGGTTTGGATTGGGTTTTTCTTAAAAAGAAATCAAACCAAGTAAGTCGCTCTTTCAATATTAGAGAGATATATTTTACATCCCAGAGGGGCTATAATTGGAGATACCATTGTTTCTGGTGCAGAAGTTCCTATAAAAATGGGAAATGCCCTACCTTTGAGTGCGGTTTGAACTATTGATTTACGTAATTGGAAATAACCAATTAGGTTTGCGATGAAACCTAGAAATCGATCACTGATCCAATTTGAGTACCTCTGCAGGATAGACCTCAACAGAAAACTGAAGAGTAACGGCAGCAAGTGATTGAGTTCACTAGTTCCTCATATAAAATTATTGACTCTAGAGATATAGTAATATGGAGAAGACAAAATTGTTTCAAGCACCGACAGAACCAACCAAAACAAACCAATTAAGTCATTTTTTTCTCGATTCGGTTTATGTCGGGTTTTGTCGGTTTTTCGATTTTTTCGGTTATTTGTCGGTTTTTTCTTAAATATAAGACATACACTACCAAACACATTCCGGCGACTACATTTTCAACGTAACACCATCAAATCAATTGCCCTTTGAGAAATCTATCGTTTACAAAGATATATTGACAATAATTGAATCAAATAGTGATGAATAATTTAAGGACTCAATTAAAAATAAATTATTTTTAACATGAAATAGATTCTTACACTTAACAAAAGAAAACTACCAATCAAACTAGAATGTAAAGGCAAAGAACTGTTCTAAAAGTGCAAACGATTAACATTTACCATAAAATTTTAGAAACTTTGTACAAATATATATATATATTCAATAGCTATTGGATTCCTAATAAACCCGTAAGTAATACTCTAGATCCGCCACTCTCGCCTATGTGTTTCATTCTCATATATAGGCAGACAATATATCCGCACAACTTCACATTTTTTCAATTGTTCACTTTTGTCAAATTAATACTCCATTTTCTACAACTTCTAGATGCAAATTGTCAGTAAACAATGCAGGATCATTTGTGTTTTGCACCTATAAGAAAGCTTAAGAATTTGTTGCATTATAAGTAGTTGCTGTGATTTCATTCAGGTAATAATGCAGTATTCTCACAACTCATTATCTAATTTAAAACATTGTCGGAATATTCGGACGGTATCCCAAGAACTCGGGTGTGTTTCAGATAAGTTCCGGACCATTTTAGAGTTGAGAGGCAGATCTGGTGCTAGTGTGTCGCACTTGCGAGGTATGATGCGCAGGTGTAACGTCGCTCACATGCTCTTGCATTGGACGCTAAACACATGACACATGTCTACATATTATCTTATTACTAAATCATAGTTAATTAGTATTCATTCTCACATTAATTTAAGACTTAACCATAATGGATTAGTACAATTTAATATAAACACGGGTACGCATAATACATGCCAAAATATACTGTACTTTATGTGCTTGTTGATCTACTGACATTATATTTATAACATACACGTGATACTCATAAGGTACATACTCATTACTAAATTATTAATTGGATTTTTACGATCCTTTGCATGATACTATATGCCAAATATATTGTACTATCAACTATGTGTGTTTGTTGATTTACTGACATTATATTTATACACATACACGTGATACTCAGAAGGTACATATATTCATTGTTAAATCATTAATTGGAATTTCTTTCTTTACTTCTTGTTTTTATTTTACTTTATAATATTTTGTTTTCTCTTAAACCCCAAAAATAAAAGGAAAAAACAGAATTGATCTCATCACTCTGTAACAGATTCATACCTACCCAGTCCCCACTTCCCTTTCTCTAGGAAAAATGCATAGCACACTGGCACTCTCTCATTCACACACAAAATATTTCTAACCAAACTTTTCATTCTTCAAAATACTCCTTTTTTGTTACTTACTCGGTGTTCGATATCGACTTTAGGGTCTGATTAATTTGGATTCATTGTGGAAAATTTTAGGGGACAAAGTGCTATATTCTAAAGGAAAATCCATCTACAGTGCTCAAATGCCAGACTTCTAATTAAGAAAGTACTTACTAGTTCATCAGAGGAGGACCTATGTGCAATATTGAGCGGTCATCGGACCCCGTAAATTTCGGTAGAAATTTTATATATGTATATGTGTATACCTTAAAAATGATAAATTTAAATCACTTGGCACCCTAAATACCAAAAGCCTTTACGGGGCACTGGTTGAGCAGAATATTGTGCTCCCGTCGCATTAAAATTCTAGATCCGCCTCTGTACTAAACCACAATTGTTAGTGGTAACTGGTAACTATCCCTTATACTTGATCTCTTTCTTACTCTCGCTCTGAGGCGGAGCTAGGATTTGAAACTTATGGGTTCGGGATTCTAGTTTTTTCAGTTACTGGATTCTAACTTAATAATTTGCGCATATTCAATAAATTTCTTAAGACAAATATAAGATTTGAACTAAAGCTACTGAGTTCGGCCGAACTCGTAACCGAAGGGCTGGCTCTGCCCCTGCTCTCGCTATATATACACACATACCAGAGAGAGAGAGAACCATATTAATTTCACCACACCTACCAAAGAGCTTCATCTTTTCAGCACTTCTAAACTTATATCACAATTGCAGCCCAACTTATTCCTCTTTCATCTATAAACCAAAACACAGTACTTAATGTTGCTCCCAAACGCACACGTAAGTATACGTGGTCGACAAGTAATATAGAATTTTAAGTCCAGATATCGTACCCACAGGGACTTGTGATTAACTATCAACTAAATTAAACCAAACAATTAATCTATTTAAGTGAATCCTAACGTATGAATATTTAACTAAAGATAATCTAGAGTAATAAACTAAGAAATTAAAGAAAACAAGTTGGTGAATTATAGAGACGAATTCAATGTGAGTGAATATTCTAGAGCTATGGGTTCACTTAAATTGTCTAATTAATTTATCTAGTTTATTGATTGACGGGGCTAATATTGCTCGTAGCCTTCTCCCGAAGTACAACTCGCCTATTCAAGCTAACCTAACGCCTATATTCCTATGGAATTAGGATTAACAAGAACGCATTTATAATTCCCGTATAATAACCAAGCAAGGCGATTAGGTATATTCCTATCCTAACCGCAAATCCGCTCCCCCTAAGAGTTAAGATCTTGCTCTACTCAATCTTATATGCAATCTAGAATTCCCTCTCCCGAGTTCAATCCTAGATTCGTAGATAGTATTCAATTGGTGATCAAGCAATCAAATAATTAAGCGCAAGATTGAATAAATAAACCAATATGATAAAATTATAAGAACAATTCAAGCTTCAAACTACAACGTTCATGTAGCAACCAACAACTCTAGAACAAATAAACTATGAAACTAAAAGAAGGGAAGAGAAGAAAAACTAGTTGGAAGCCTCCTCCAAGCATGGTGTGTGTTCCCCCACGTGAATTCCCCTTCAAAGTATGTTATTTATCACCAAAGTGGCGTCTTCCCTTCAAAAATATGTTTAGTCTTGCTTTTATACGTGTTGGGTAGGTCTAGGGCCGAAATAACCTTGTCCCGGGCGAAATAGGACACATTTCACGTCACCGGCGCCCAGCCCAGCGCCAGGCGCCCTCCATAGCGCCCAAATATTTGTGCATACTGTTTTTGGCACCACAGGTGGCGCCAGGCGCTGCCTGTGGCGCCCAACTGGCCTTTTTTTCCTGATTTCGTTCGTTTTGGCTCAAATCTTGCGCGTTTCGCCATGTTCCATTTAGAATTTGTGAAAACGTAAAACATGAAAGTTGTAGCCCTTTGAGTTAGATTTCCAACCATATATTGTGGAGTCCAAATGGAGTTCTGAGCAAAAAGTTATGTGTATTTTGCTAGACAGTGCGCAATATGCCTACTCAAGTCTTCATTTGTTCTTAACTATAAAAGTTGACCCCTGACACGATCCCGGCTTAATTCCTTGGGCTTTTACTCAGACTTCAAAGCTCCAAATCACTTGAATTCATTCCATAACATCTATATAGCTCGGAATCACTCCTACAAGACATAAAACACACCGTTAGTGCAAAACACTAGCGATTAAAGCGCAAACTCAACTAAAGTGCAGTAAATTTGAGTGTAATAATCGACTAAAATACGCAATTATAGCCTATCATCAACACCCCACACTTAAACGTTGCTCGTCCTCGAGAAATGGGACTATCTAATAAACCCCCCCAACTACGTACAAGTATCAATTATAGAGGAGTACTTTATCTTTTACCCACACACTATACCCTAGACTATGATCAATACCGGCACACAAGCATGAACACACAAAAATTCACATTATTCCCGTCTAAGCATGCCCAAGTATAATATTTCACTTCAATCAATTCCAACAACCTATTTGTCACCACCCAACCTCAAAAGCCGACTTGTAACCACTAAGCACACTCAATTCATGCACTTACCTAACAAGAAAGTTTACAACATTACCAATCATTCATGAGATCATGTGCCCTCACCAACAAACAAAAGAGTGACTATAGATAGTCCATACATTCAAATATAGATTAAGAACATCGCACAATTGAACCAAATTCACTCACTCTCACAAAGAATTCATATGCATCCCGTGGTCGTACTATATGCTTGCCCGTAGTGTATATCTCTACTAATTTAAGCTAGCCAAATCTAGGATCAATTAGGACTTTTAAGGTTGTAATGTAAGCTAAGGGACGGGTAGGATATATTGTGAAAATAGTCGCTCCCTCCTAAGCACTTTAATAGACTACATTCACAATTCAAGCACATATTCTTCTCAACCAAATCACTTGCCATACACAACATAGCCCTTACGTTCATTCAAGCACTTCTATACTCCCACTAGCACAAATTATT